CTCTGCCACACATTTCAGTGATACTTTTATCACGTATTTCCAAAAACGTTTTCACATTTTCTTAAAATGTCACAAAGAAGACAACAGAACTTACTTGCCTTTTACAACAGAACAAATGGAGCAAGTCAGAGGTTAAGGTGCTAACATTCTTCGTGGTTCCTCACCACCTTTTGTTCTGTTAGCCTATAAGGAAAAGTCTTCTCCTTTCTCATCTCGTTATCTTCAGGGGAAAATAGTACTTCAGCAAGTGACCCAGTTCAAGAACATCTCCAGAGCCATTAGCATACAGAGGTTTGTTCTATTCTCTCTGTGCATCATCTCTAAGCACCTCAGCCTTCTCTCCTAGGAGCTAGGGAACGTCAGAAAAGTGAAAGTAGTACCCCAGCTAATGAACTGCCCTGTGCTGGTCTGAGAAGACAAGCCCAGCTTCCTCTATGGCTCAAGATTTGGTTTCCTTCAATATGTCCTTTTGGAAATATTTCCATGAGATTGGAGAGATAAAAGGAGCCAGGATTGCTCACATTCAGGAAAAAAAACTCCTCTATCTTTTTCTCTCTCCCTCTTTCTCTCCCTCCCCCTGACTGCCCTCTTCTCTCTCTCTCTCTTTCCCTGAGCTGGCAAGGTTAACTGGTCACAGCAAGTCCGATGAACCAGTTGGACTTCTTGGACTGAGTTTCAGAAGGCTGAGATGGGGATGAAACTTATCACAAAAGTAAAGGAACCCCTTAGCCTTCTTTGATTCCAGGCCCCCAAACCTGTCTTCCACTTGGGTGAATGGAGTTCTTCCTGTGCTACAGCACGGCATAGTAGGGGCTGCCCTGGGCTTGGAGTCAGAGCTTCACCACATTCAGTCATCTGTACATTGAGGCATCAGTGCCTGCTTCATGGTGCTACCCTGTGGATTAAATGAAGAGAGTTTTTGACGATCTTGACACTGAATATTGATACATTGGCCAGACTTTTTCTGATAGTAAAAAATGGTGGTTTCTTGTCAGAAATCAAATCAATATATTTGTTCTCCTGTTGATTAGCTGTGTCCCCAGAGGGTAGAGACTGCCTGTCTTATTTATCTCTCTATCTCCAGCACTTAAAAGGTGCCTTGCACAAAGTACATATTAAGTTCATACGAATGAATGAATGAAATGCATATGATTTATTCATACCCAGTTGGTTGTGTGTTTACCCTTTCCTAAACCTGTAATCAGGTGGCCTTGGATTCCCCTGTACTTCTTGTGCAGTACTGTGCTGTAAAGGTGGACTATCACACTTCAATTCAGAGCAATCTGGGCTTGAATCCTGAATTTGCCAGTTTATTAACTACAGCAAACATTTTTGAGCATACATTGTGCCAGGTGCTAGGCTAACAGACATGTCTTACATGTCTGTCTTACAGACATTGTCTTACTTCATCTTAATATCTATGAGTCATGCACTATAATCATCCCTGTTTTACAGATAAGAAAGCAAAGACTTGGAGAGGAAAAGCATCTTGTTGAAAGGTAAATACTTAATGGCCAAGCCAACATACAAATCTAGATTTAATCGCAGTTTCCTCTTCATTGACCATTTGAACTAATTCAAGCTATGTAACATTTTCCACTGAACCTTCTTGCCTCTATTTCCTCATCTTTAACATGGTCAAAATACCCATCCTGCCCAAGTTAGTCATTTCATTAAAGTAGAAAAATACATGAGAAGCTTTTAAAATGTGAAAACTTCAAAATGAATGTAAAAGTTATGATTCTTTTAGAATGTGTCAACAGCTTCTTATTCTCTAGTCCTGCTAGGCATTTACAATCTCAAAAGCATGTATTTAAAATGCAAAACTATATTTGTATTTGCCATAACTGGTTTCATTCCCTATGGCTTCATGAAAATGTGGCTCGAATGTGATTATGAAAGCCCCATATTAATCACGACAAGACTTCACCAGCCCATTCCACAATAGACTCCCATTACTTTGCCATTTTCCCCATGGTCTTGGGGATTAACATTCAGCTCCTTGTTACTTATGCAAATTTCTGCAGCTGGCTTGAATTTCTCCTCAGAAAATGGGATTTTCTTTTCTATCGCATTATCAGGCTACAAATTTTCCAAACTTTTATGCTCTGCTTCCCTTATAAAACTGAATACCTGGCCAGGTGCGGTGGCTAACACCTATGATCCCAGCACTTTGGGAGACTGAAGTGGGCGAATCATGAGGTCAGGAGTTTGAGACTAGCCTGGCCAACATGGTGAAACCCCATCTCTACTAAAAATACAAAAAGTTAGCTGGGCATAGTCGTGGGTGCCTTTAATCCCAGCTACTTGGGACACTGAGGCAGGAGAATCACTTGAACCCAGGAGGCAGAGGTTGCAGTGAGTCGAGATCGCACCACTGCACTCCAGCCCTGGCAACAGAGTAAGACTCCATCTCAAAACAACAACAACAACAACAACAACAACACACCTGAATGCCTTCAACAGCACCCAAGTTACTTCTTGAATGCTTTGCTGCTTAGAAATTTCTTCTGCCAGATACCCTAAATCATCTCTTTTAGGTTCAAAGTTCCACAAAGCTCTAGGGCAGGGGCAAAATGCTGCCAGTCTCTTTATGAAAACATAACAAGAGTCGCCCTTGCTCTAGTTCCCAAAAAGTTCCTCATCTCCATCTGAGACCACCCCAGCCTAGATTTCATTGTCCATATCATTATCAGCATTTTGGTCAAAGCCATTCAACAGGCCTCTAGGGAATTCCAAACTTGGTCACATTTTCCTGTCTTCTTCTGAGCCCTCCAAACTGTTCCAGCCCCTTTGCCTGTTACCCAGTTCCAAAGTCACTTCCACATTTTTGGTTATCTTTTCAGCAGTGCCCCACTCTACTGGTACCAGTTTACTGTATTATTCCATTTTCATGCTGCTGATAAAGACATACCTGAAACTGGACAATTTACGAAAGAAAGAGGTTTATTGGACTTACAATTCTGCATCGCTTGGGAGGCCTCACAATCATAGTGGAAGGAGAAAGGCACGTCTCACATGGCAGCAGACAAGAAAAGAGCTTGTGCAGGGAAACTCCTCTTTTTAAAACCATAAGATCTCATGAGATTTATTCATTATCATGACAACAGCGCAGGAAAGACCTGCACCCATAATTCAATCACCTCCTACCAGGTTCCTCCCACAACACGTGAGAATTCAAGATGAGATTTGGATGAGGACACAACCAAACCATGTCACACTACCATGCTTGACTTCCTTTCCATTTTTGTATGTTTGCTTGTTCTTCATTTGTCTGAGAAGTGACTCTAAAGGGCTGTATTATTTGGGTTTTAGACTGGCATTTTATCTTACTGGGATACCTTGCTGTGATTGGCCATGTATAAGGTCAGCTTTTTTATAAGCGATATTTTTAAAAGATGTATTAAGTTTTTAAAAATCCATCTGTCTAAATAATATGCACAAAGCCCCCCAAAAACCTAGATTCTAAGAAAAATCTATGTACTGCCATATAATGATTGATATTAATAATTATGGTGATAAATTACACACACAAAATGTGTGATCTCTGTTTAAACAGGCAAAAACAAAAAACCCATGAAATAAACCTATGGAGTCTATAGCCAAAACTGGAAACAACCCACATATCCATCAATAGGAAATCAGTTAAATAAATTATAGTACATTTATCCAATGGAAGATGAAGCACATATTCAAAATTATTTATACATATGTATATACACATGTATAAATATATATAGAGAATACTGTGTGTACATATATATATATATATACACTTGTGTGGGTATGTGTACATATATACACACACACAATACTCTTGCCTACCTTCTTGTCTTTTGTCTTAACTGTGAACTTGCATTCACTCTGCTTCAGTAGGATACTCCCTTCCTTTTGGTTCTTAGACTCAGCACATTGATCCTTGACTCAGGACATTGCATTTGCTGCTTCCTCTTCCTGGAATATCCTTCCTTCTGATACTCACATGAGCAGTCTCTTCTTGTTATTCAGATCTCAAATGTCACATCTTCAGAGAGCCCATCTCTGATCATCATATCTAAAGTTGTCCTCATTCCCCCCTAGCTTTCTATACCATGTTTTTTTTTTTTCATAACATGTATTTTATTACTCCTTTCTCCATTGGAATAGAGTCTCCATTAGATTAGGAAACCTGCCTATCTTGTTAACGCCTGTAACTAGAATACTTTTGAAGAGTTCTTGGCATGTAATAAATGTTCAACTAATATTTTTGTGTACACAGAAATAAAGTTTGGAAGAACATATGCCAAATAGTTAATAGTGGTTACTTCTGAGTAGAGGAGTAGCGTGGTAGGTAAATTATTAATAGATGTTCACTTTCCACCAAGATATGTTTTAGTTAGTCTTAACTTACTTGAAATGAAATTTATTACTTTAATAATTAGAAAAATTGATAAACATTTTAATTACAAGAATGATAAATAAAATTTTGATGCTTCCAATAAGCTATATTTATCAAGAGGATGCACTTATGTAGAATACTCTCTTGAGGATGTTAGGTAAGTAACATGTTACTATATGTGGTAAAATATCTATGATTTTATAAAAGCACTGAACACGAAGCAACAGAAATGTTTTTCCCAGTCTCTTTCCTCCGAACTTGATCAGCATCTCTCTGGCAAAGCACCTAAATTAATTCTTCTTTAAAAGTTAACAAGACCAAATTATAAGCTTGATGAATAACTCATTCTTATTTTTCTTTATTATATTTTACGTATTTATTAGCTATGCCCATCTTAAACAGGTTTATTTGTTCTTTTTACACATACCAAACTCGTAATATTAGCTGCTGTCCCCAGGTCCGAATGTTAAGTCAACATATATTTGAGAGACCTTCAACTTATCAAGTATTGCAGGTCTCTGATTGCTTTGGAACCACTTCTGATACCTGTGGACTTAGTTCAAGGCCAGTTGTTACCACTTTTTTTTTTTTCTAATAGAATGAACAAATGGCTAATTGTTTGCTTTGGTCAACAAGCTCAAGTTAATGGATCTGGGTACTATGTATATAAAAAAACCTAGCTTGAGTCTCTTTTCAGTGACATCTTTGCCTTTCTAATCAGAGATTTTCTTCCTCAGAGATTTTGGCCTAGATTTGCAAAATGATGACCATATCTTTGATTTGGGGGATTGCTATAGCAGCATGCTGTTGTCTATGGCTTATTCTTGGAATAAGGAGAAGGTAAGGAATGTTTTATCTTTAAATTGCTCTTTAATTCATCCATTTAATTTTTTTTTTACCTTCATTGTTATACAGTAAATTTGGTTTTCTATACTTACACATATTAGCATTATCTTCCTTATTTTTTTAGTGAAAATTTTGATTTGAATTTTTAAAGTAATATCTTTTTTACTATATCTAACAAAATATATGATGACAACTTCCTTTTTTAGTATTGGCATATACCAATGGTAATGTATAAATGTATATTGGTGTTAAACATAACCGACAGAAATTTTATAAGGTCTCCATGTACATTTATATATATATCTAAAGACGAAACCCAAATTAGTAAGGATACAAGTAGCAAGTGGGAATCTACGTGGAAAGGATTGCTTTCTCTCACATGGCTTCAATAGATACTCTTATTAAATAAATGTTCTCTTTTAAGCTCATTCTTGTGCATCATATAGACTCTGCCTAAGCCTAGACTATAGCATAGACCTGAGCTGATCATTCTATTTCTGTTTTTAAATCAATGTTAATCAACTCTGGTGAATTGGGAAAGTCTGCTGAGTGTATGTGACATTGATTTCATTTATTTACAACTGGTTCAAGAATGCAAGAAAAACAAATACAGTCAGATCCAGAACCATAGTTTATTTAACTTCTAATTGGCTCAAGGAGTAATTGTGGGGAGGCATGTAGATATTCTCTGCTATGTCAATCTCAAAAAGAGAAAATCACCCTGAGCATATTTCAACTTTGTAGATTGCTATGTGTTTTCTGCCTTTTGCAGTTTCTTTCAGGCCTGATAGTTTTTACTTTTAATTAAACTACTTATCTTCAAACTAAGAAAAGAAAAGTTATTACTTTATACTGTATTATTCTATCAAGAGGTACAGAAGTTTATGTTGGAAAATAAGTTTACATTTTCTAATAGAAACATTTTAAAGGAGCACTGAATTACAATAGATGATTCTGTCAGTGTTTATCTTACTCAATTTCATTTTATAATAAGGTAATTTCTCACATGAGATTCTTCTTCTCTGAAACCATCCTTACAGAATAATAATATCTCTAAACTAGGAAGATTTTGAAAATCTCAGTTCTGAAATCCTCTCTTATTCAGTGATCTATATCTTTAAAGAAAATAATCAAAAGAAACATTTTGAGATATTTAGAAAAATGATGCTTAGCAAAATTATAAACACTAGATGTAGTTTTGTTTCCGCACTGACAGCAAGAATCTCGTTGGCCTTGTAAATCCTTTAGCCTGAATCATAGGGAAAAGTGACGAGCACACAGTAGACGGGTGCTTGTTGAATGTACATATGGATGGATGCATAAATGGATAGATTTAGTAATCCTTTCCACCAACATATCATGTTACTAGGTTAATATAACCTATTTTCGTAGTAAAAGAGCGGAGCCCATCCAACAAAAGAAATATCTATAAACTATAGGGTTTTAAAGTTTGAAGTCAGCGGGAAGAATTTTTAAACCTGATGTAAGTAAAAACCCAAATATGTAATCATCCATGTCTATCATACATTTGTTTCTGACAGGCAAACGGGTGAACCACCTCTAGAGAATGGGTTGATTCCATACCTGGGCTGTGCGCTGCAATTTGGTGCCAATCCTCTTGAGTTCCTCAGAGCAAATCAAAGGAAACATGGTCATGTTTTTACCTGCAAACTAATGGGAAAATATGTCCATTTCATCACAAATCCCTTGTCATACCATAAGGTGTTGTGCCATGGAAAATACTTTGATTGGAAAAAATTTCACTTTGCTACTTCTGCGAAGGTAAGCAGTTTTACATTTATATACCATTCTGTTTGTCTTCTACCTTTTTATGTGCTGGTCTATTTAGAATTTTTGATGTACTTAGATTTTACGATAAAGGTGTTGAAGAGAGTTATCCTTATGTGGAGATTCTTAGAAACATAAATAAATTAAATTATACATAGCTTCGTAGTAACAATCATTTAGAAAGTCAAAATAGGTATAAATGTGTCATTTGTTGACAAGTTAATGAGGGTGAAATATACACTAAATGCTCTACTGAGACAGGTGGCACTGTATGAATAAGAGAGAGAAAAATTCATCACATCAGCAGTGTCTATGAAAGAGTGCAAGTGATGGAAACCTAACATTCAACAGTTGTCTTGCCACACTTGTGCCACACAGTGTTTCATTTTGTTAAGGAATTGGCAAGATATTTTAACATCATTTAGATGTAATAAAAGAAGCTCTGTTGCTAAGAAAAAAAAAACTAGTAACTACTTACTGCAAATAAATATTAGCTTTGGTCTTTGTGACTAAGTAGCTTAAAGTTTGGTTAAAATACATCTACAGAGACGGGCGGATCACGAGCTCACAAGATCAAGACCATCCTGGCTAACATGGTGAAACCCCGTCTCTACTAAAAAATACAAAAAACTAGCCGGGCGAGGTGGCGGGCGCCTGTAGTCCCAGCTACTCGGGAGGCTGAGGCAGGAGAATGGCGTGAACCCGGGAGGCGGAGCTTGCCGTGAGCTGAGATCCTGCCACTGCCCTCCAGCCTGGGAGACAGAGCGAGACTCCGTCTCAAAAAAAAAAAAAAAAAAAATACATCTACAGCTGGATGCAATGGAACACACCTGTAGTCCCTGCGACTTGAGAGGCTGAGGCAGGAGGATCGCTTGAGCCCAGGAGTTTGAGGCTGCAGTGAGCTATAATTGTGTCACTTCACTCCAGCCTGGGCAACAATGTGAGACCCCATCTCTAAAAGAAAAAGAAATCTACAAATAATATAAAAGATAACTAATGATTTTAAAACATTATCAATAAGTTTATGTGCAATAGGTGTAAATAAGTGCAGTAGCATAAGAGATAAGACATAGATGACTTGAGTGATCCAGGGGAGTGCCACTGAACTTGGCTTTAAAGGAAAGGTACAATTTGGCCATTTATTTGTAAAGTGCTATGAAATTGTACAAGCGAAAGCCAATTTCCTGTTTTTAAGAAGTAAGGAACTATGAAAGTATCTAATCCGTTTTTCAGTCATTTACTATGACTAGGTCAGGTTTAATTTCTTTTTCTGCATGTTTTATTTGCTGTCAGGCATTTGGGCACAGAAGCATTGACCCAAAGGATGGAAATACCACTGAAAACATAAACAACACTTTCATCAAAACCCTGCAGGGCAATGCCTTGAATTCCCTCACGGAAAGCATGATGGAAAACCTCCAACGTATCATGAGACCTCCAGTCTTCTCTAACTCAAAGACCGCTGCCTGGGTAACAGAAGGGATGTATTCCTTCTGCTACCGAGTGATGTTTGAAGCTGGGTATTTAACTATCTTTGGCAGGGATCTTACAAGGCAAGACACACAGAAAGCACATATTCTAAACAATCTTGACAACTTCAAGCAGTTCGACAAAGTCTTTCCAGCCCTGGTAGCAGGCCTCCCCATTCACATGTTCAGGACCGCGCACAGTGCCCGGGAGAAACTGGCAGAGAGCTTGAGGCACGAGAACCTCCAAAAGAGGGAAAGCGTCTCAGAACTGATCAGACTGCGCATGTTTCTCAATGACACTTTGTCCACCTTTGATGACCTGGAGAAGGCCAAGACGCACCTCGTGGTCCTCTGGGCATCGCAAGCAAACACCATTCCAGCGACTTTCTGGAGTTTATTTCAAATGATTAGGTGACTAACACCATATCCATTTCTTTTTTTATTTTATTTTAGTAGAACGTAGACATTAAACCATTTTAACTTTAAGAAAAAAAGCCTTATAGTACTTTCTCGTGCCATCAATCAAGAACGTAGCACTAATGCGTGTTAGTGTTTAACATGTTTGAGTTCATTCAGTCCTCACAAAACATAGGCAGCTATGACTGGTAAAAGTGTTTTATAGAAACAAAGGCAGTCCCAGAGAAAGAGATGTCACCCCAAGTCACAGAGCTTGTATGTGCTCGTGTTGGAGTCAATTCAGGCTGCCTGGTCCAGAGCCCTCACTCTTAACCCCATACTGTTCTTCACGACACCAACTTAAGTCCATAATGCAGTTTTCATAACCATAAAAATGTATTTAAGTGATTACTGATTTAATCAGGGCAGTGACTATGCCTTATTTATTTGTTCATTCACAGTTTGTTTTCACTCAATTAGGAATTGCTGTTCTTCTGTTTTTGACCAAGTATGAGAGCTATGAATCAATCATAATCAATTTTTATTGATAAGAGACTTAGCTAGGTTTTGCTTTTTAAAACTGTATGTAACAGGAAAAAAAAACTGTAATAACATATGTTTTACATAACATGATTTCTCTCCAAAGTGTTAATCTTTTGGGAATTTGAAATTAGAATGGTCTATTATTGAATTATTCCAATTAAATTGGATATTTAGTATCATGTCGACACAAAATTGCTATTCCATAGGATTGGGAATGCCAGATTTCTATTGATAGCTGATGACTTTAGGTCTTATAAAATATTTTAAAACTTAATTTCAGATGTGAGAACTTATTACTAATTTGTCACAAATGTTGACTATCTTCCAAAGTTATTACTTGAGAAAGCACATCCAGAATAAACTCACATATTTACAGCAGGCATACAACATCAATTTAACATCATAAAGGAAATTGTAGCCATATTTTATGATAGTTTCACAAATACTTATCAGTCAAACATTTTGAGACTCAACTTACTGTAGTTTTGTTATGTAGCTCCCTAGCCATGTCTAATCCTTATTAGAAATACTTGTTTATAAAAAGCCCTGACCAAAGTTTAACTTTTATGTAGCAAGGCCTCCTTTTTTTATTATTCTTTTTTTTTTGAGCCGGAGTCTTGCTCTGTCACCGAGGCTGGAGTGCAGTGGCGCAATCTGGGCTCACTGCAACCTCCACCTCCCGGGCTGAAGCAATTCTCCTGCCTCAGCCTCCCGAGTAGCTGGGATTACAGGATCCCACTGCTATGCCCGGCTAATTTTTGTATTTTTAGTAGAGACAGGGTTTCACCATGTTGGCCAGGCTGGTCTCAAACTCCTGACCTCATGATCCGCTCGCCTTGGCCTCCCAAAGTACTGGATTCTTACTAATATCCAAGGACATAAAATGCAATTACAAATGTAGTAAACGCAAACAGGACTATCCCTTTCTCTTCTCCCCCGATATCTTCACCATCTAGTTAAAAGGAGGGGGAAAGGCCCATTTGTTTGCAGATCTCAAAGTATGGAAAAAGTTTGTTTTCTGTACATACATTTTTTCTCTTAACTTTTAATAGGAACCCGGAAGCAATGAAAGCAGCTACTGAAGAAGTGAAAAGAACATTAGAGAATGCTGGTCAAAAAGTCAGCTTGGAAGGCAATCCCATTTGTTTGAGTCAAACACAACTGAATGACCTGCCAGTATTAGGTGGGTATACTTGTTATGTTGCATTTCATTTTCCATGTCCTACTACTTTAACAATAATGACCAATATCAATTACATACTTACTGAATTCTAGGCATTAAGCTAAGTATTTCATATGAGTTTTCTTGGTTAATCCTCACAACAATCCTGTGACTTGGGACTGTTACTATTTATTTGTACCAAGTGAGGAAACTGACACCTAGAGGTTAAGCTGCAGCCAGGGTAGAATCAAATACATCATTATGTGGGATGCTGTTCTCTCAGCTACCACCCTGCACTGCCACACTATGTTTCTCTTATTCCTCTTACGGCTAATCTGATGGTTAATGGAAGTATATTAGTCATTTTCATAAAATAAAGGAGAGAAAAGAACCACTAAGAAACCACAGTTACCTGCATGGATTGAGTGATGGATTTGAAGCTTCTTTGATTTTTCTTTGTTCTGCTTTTCTATATTTTATAGAAATCTAACAATATGATATTTTAAATTTAATTTATTATTATTTTTTAAGACAAAGTCTCGTTCTGTTGCCCAGGCTGGAGTGCAATGGTGTGATCTTGGCTCACTACAACCTCTGCCTCCTGGGTTCAAACCATTCTCCTGCCTCAGCCTCCCAAGTAGCTAGGATTACAGGTGCACGCCACCACCCCTGGCTAATTTTTGTATTTTTAGTAGAGACTGGGTTTCACCATGTTGTCCAGACTGGTCTCGAACTCCTGACCTCAAGTGATCTGCCTGCCTTGGCCTCCCGAAGTGCTGGGATTACAGGCATGAGCCATTGCACCTGGCCAACAATATGATATGTTTATAGTAAGAAAGTTTTCTTTTTTTGGTTATTTTATTTAAGGAGGCAAGAAGCTTAGGTTCCTTGTTGGGTCTGACTTGGGAGACTTTGGACATGTCAGTTCTCTTTTGGGGGCCTTCCTTTTCTTATCTGTAAAATAAAATGCTAACATTCTGGGATTTTATACACAATCATGTGATGAGCACCCTAAAACATGACAGTTAAAGGATAAGTCTGAAAGATCAGGCTGGACCTCTCGTGAGCTCTCTATATTTCAGCCATTTTCAGGTTGGTTCTTTTTGTCCCTTTATGCCTTTCCTAGGCAGCAGGGATTGCCACACAACATCAGATAGTATATGGATAAAAATAGGTTCTTGTAAATGTTGAACTGAAGCTGCAGTAAACACCTAGAAAAAACATATGTATATATCAATGTTTTCAGTATATTCAGTCTCAGAAGTCCTCAGCATATTAAATCTCAGAAGTGATAAACTTTGAATAATTTATATAAAAATGTATTACTGATTTTTCCAGTTTTATTAGATGATTACTTTCCTATAAAATGATGGAATTTTGTTTCCCAATTATGACCAAGATGATTATCTCTTAATCAAAAGATTATTATTAACTCAGAGGATCTGATTTAAAAATACATTCAAGCTGGGCATGGTGACTCACACCTGTAATCAAAGCACTTTTGGAGGCTGAGGTGGGCGCATCACTTAAGCCTAGGAGCTCAAGAGCAGCCTGGCAACACAGCAAAACCCTGTCTCTACAAACAATAAAAAGAAGAAAATTAGCTGAGTATGGTGGCAGACGCCTATAGTCGCAGCTGCTTGGGAGGTTGAGGTGAGAGGATCACTTGAGCCTGGGAGGTTGAGGCTGTGGTGAGCCATGATCATGCCACTGCACTGCAGCCTGAGCAAGAGAATGAGACCCTGGCTAAAAACAAAAACAAAAATAAAAAAATTCAGACACAGTTGAATCATTGATAACAGCATCGTGGTAACAGAAAGAAAGTTTGGGAAATGTTTATCTGATCAGCTTCCCATACCCTGTTCATGTTACAGGACGACAGAACACTGTCACCACCCAGTCCCTTTGTGTTACGCACTGCCAGGCTGTCTGTAGTTCAGACTCTATATCATACGACCTTCAAACACTTGCTTTGTTCTTCTCTTCCTTCCTCCCTTCCTTCTTTCATTTTTTACCTTTTTTGCTTTTAAAATATTTAGAAAGCATAATCAAGGAATCACTGAGGCTTTCCAGTGCCTCCCTCAACATTCGGACAGCTAAGGAGGATTTCACTTTGCACCTTGAGGACGGTTCCTACAACATCCGAAAAGATGACATCATAGCTCTTTACCCACAGTTAATGCACTTAGATCCAGAAATCTACCCAGACCCTTTGGTAAGTGCCTGCTCATTGAAGTTCAATATCCAGGTGATAGCTACCTAGATCTAAATAAAGAGGAATGGTAGAATTGATTTTATCATTGTAGTCATAGGGATTGTCCCCTTAATCGTGTTAAATATTCATATATTTTGGAAAATTTAGATAGTGGTCTGAATTTTTAATTTTTAGTCCAGGTATTTGTCATCACACAGTCTTTGCTAGATTATGTTTGCAGTCATGATAATAAACCTGCCACTTTTTTTTTTTTCTTAAAAACACCTCCTCCCAAATCCAGGAAATTGGAGGCTAATATATTGATTCTTCCAGTTTCTTCTGGAAACGCTTCTCTCTCTAGCTCTGCCAGACTAAGGAACTAATCGTTCAAGCACGATAGGAGGTGTCAGAAGGCCTCCTTACCTCATTAAGCATATTACTTTCTGATTCAATGTGGAGTATTTGCTAAATCACTAATGGAGTAGATTTAAAAAGAAAATTACTCTTTGGAGCTTCCAGGTTGAGAAAGAGATAAATTTCTTTAAAACTAGCTTAAAGGCTGTTTTCTTTGTATTTTTATTGCAGATTTTTAAATATGATAGGTATCTTGATGAAAACGGGAAGACAAAGACTACCTTCTACTGTAATGGACTCAAATTAAAGTATTACTACATGCCCTTTGGATCAGGAGCTACAATATGCCCTGGAAGAGTGTTTGCTATCCACGAAATCAAGCAATTTTTGGTTTTGATGCTTTCTTATTTTGAACTGGAACTTGTCGAGGGCCAAGATAAATGTCCGCCTTTGGACCAGTCCCGGGCAGGCTTGGGCATTTTGCCGCCATTATATGACATTGAGTTTAAATATAAATTCAAGCATTTGTGAATACATGGCTGAAATAAGAGGACACTAGATGATATTACAGGACTGCAGAACACCATCACCACACAGTCCCTTTGGATAAATGCATTTAGTGGTGGTAGAAATGATTCACCAGGTCCAATGTTGTTCACCAATGCTTGCTTGTGAATCTTAATATTTTGGTGACAGTTTCCAGATGGTGTCGCAGACTGTGCTAGTGAAAAGAACTAGTTTCTAGGAGCACGATAATTTGTTTTCATCTGTATGAGTCCATGAATGTTCATATAGCCAGGGGTTGAAGTTTATTATTTTCAGAGGAAAACACCTTTTTTTTTTCCCCCCCCAAAATGAAGATACACATTCCAGCCAGGTATTGTAGCAGGCACCTGTAGTCTTAGCTACTCGAGAGGCCAAAGAAGGAGGATGGCTTGAGCCCAGGAGTTCAAGACTAGCCTGGACAGCTTAGTGAGACCCCGTCTCTAAAGAAAAGATACGTATTCTAATTGGCAGATTGTTTTTTCCTAAGGAAACTGCTTTATTTTTATAAAACTGCCCAACAATTATGAAACATGTTCAAATTCACGTTCTAGTGAAACTGCATTATTTTTTTACTAGATGTTGGGGTTCTTCAGGTGTGATCATATATCATAAAGGATATTTCAAATGATTATGATTAGTTATGTCTTTTAATAAAAAGGAAATACTTTTCAACTTTTTATATATCCAAAATTCAGGGCTTTAAAAATGATTATTTTGATTTCCCAAAAACACTAAAGGTGGTTTTAATATTTTCCCTTTATGTTTTAACTTATTGTTGCTGAAAACTCTATGTCCAGCTTTAACTATCTTCTCTGTATTTTTATTTCATTTCATATTAATGAGAAGAGTTTTTTTCAGAGATTAAAAAAGGCAGTTTTTCTGTTATTGTTAAATACACACTATCAATGAACAAATGTAGCTTTTATGTGATCTGTTTTAAAGTTAAAACCGGATGGAAATAGCCGTTTGAAAGCTTTGGTTATGAAACATGCGGAGTGTATTAAGTACGGCTTGACATTATGTTTTATTTAAATGCTTTTTATCGCTAAATGACTTGCAGATGAAAAAAAACTAAGGTGGCCTGAGAGTTTAAATGCTGTGTACAACAATGCTTTGATAATATATTTTAAGTATGAGTTATCAGCTATATGTCAATTGATATTTCTGTGCAGTATTTATATGTAAATTATATTTACCTTTTTGCTTATTTTATAAATATTAAGAAAGTATTCTAACATTTCATAATTTTGAAATGATTCATCTTTCAGAAATAAAAGTATGAATCTATGTGTATTTATTTATTTATTTATTTATTTAGAGACAGAGTCTCACCCTGTCACCAAGGCTGGAGTGCAGTGGTGCGATCTCAGCTCACTGTAACTGCCGCCTCCTCAGTTCAAGCAATTCTCATGCCTCAGCCTCCTGAGTAGCTGGGACTACAGGCATGTGCCCCCATGCCTGGCTAATTTTTATATTCTTAGTAGAGACGGGGTTTCACCATGTTGGCCAGGCTGGTCTCAAACTCCTAACCTCAGGGGATCTGCCCACCTCAGTCTCCCAAAGTGCTGTGATTACAGGCACAAGTCACTGCACCTGGCCGAATCTATGTGTTTTAAATTTTGAATTATTCAGAGTGTTTAAAACATTCACCCACTTACAAGCTAAACAACAAGAGTTTTATTCAGGATTCATTCAAAATACTCATATATTCAAAATATTGCAAAAATATTCAATGTAATAATTTACTCAAAAATCTCCCTCATACTACATAAAATTTATTAGAAGTTTTCATCTTGCTATTTAATATTACCATAGATTTATCCCTTAAGTAGGTTATCTTTTATATTAAGAAAATTAAAGTCATTTAGATGTGGTTCAAGATTAACAAAAATCTATTTTATAGTGAACAGTTATAAACCAAATTTCTAATGTGGTTTCCTAATAGATTTTATGACTTCGTAAATGCATCCCACATTTTTCCATGTCTTTGTTCTTGTAGAGCAAGGGTTGGCAACTGATAGCACATGGACCAGAGGCTCCCTGCCTCTGTTTTTGTATAGCCTGAAAGTTGAGAATGGTTTTTACATTTTTAAATGGTTAGATAAAAAATCAAAAGAATACGAATCTTTTCTGACATGTGAGAAGTATGTGAAATTTGGACTTCCACACCCATCAGTCAAGTTTTATTGGGAGGGACGCAGCCTGCCCATTGTTTTCATTCTTGTCCACGCCTGCTGTTGCGGTGCCACTGTGGAGCTAAGCAGTTGCAACAGAGACCATGTGGCCACAAAGCCTGATATATTTAAAGTCTAGTTCTTTACAGAAAATGTTTGCCAATCCCTGTTGTATAGCAATCCCAAAGGCTACTTTGTACTATAATTTTATTAACTTTAAAGAAAGTATACAAGCATTGGTATATGAAGTATTTTGTCTTTTTTGAAAAAAGCATGTGAGGAGAATACATTTAAAATGCCATGGATGGCCAGGCACAGTGGCTCATGTCTGTAATCCCAACACTTTGGGAGGCCGAGGCGGGCGGATCACCTGAGGTCGATAGTTCGAGACCAGCCTGACCAACACGGAGAAGCCCCATCTCTACTAAAAATAAATAAATAAATAAATAAATTAGCCAGGCGTGGTGGTGCTTGCCTGTAATCCCAGCTACTCGGGAGGCTGAGGCAGGAGAATGGCTTGAACCCGGGAGGTGGAGGTTGCAGTGAGCTGAGATCACTGCACTCCAACCTGGGCAATAAGAGCAAAACTCCAACTCAAAATAAATAAATAAACAAAGCTATAGATATAACTTTATCTCAGACAACATTAAGTTATACCTTTATTGGAGATGAAACCATTCCATTTAGGAAAGATATTTGTATTTTAAAAAGCACCTAAAAGGCATTACAATAACCTATTGTAAGATCAAATAGACCTAGGAGGAGAGATGTTCATGGTTAAATCTATTCAGATTCCCATGGACCAGGGCCAGGTCACTACTCCACATGTCATGCATCATCCCATCATATCCTCAGGAGTCCTTTGAGGTTTGTGTTACTATTACCTCTATATTACAGAAGAGAAAGGCAGAACTCCAGAAAGGTTAAGTCACTGGCTCAAGGTCACAATGCTGACAGGTGCAAGGGCTGGGAGTATTGGAATCCAGGTTGCTCCAACTCCAGAGCCAGCACTCTTCCCTTTGTGGCAAGTCCAGGTGACAGACTGTCTTGACTCAGGTCATTGAAAAGATACACCACAGTAAACAAAATCCATGATGTCACTTCTGTCTCTAAATCCCCACTGTTTGGGAGGGTCACTTGGTCAGAGGGCGGGGCACTGTAGCTGCCAGGCCTAGGAAGGTCAGGAAGGAGGCCGAGGACTCTAGCTGAGAGCCCGTGAAGAGCCACAGTATTATCAAATACAACATTACGCTGTGCTCACCTTCACGTAGGACAGTGTCTCTTCATCTCACCAACCGCTTGGAGTTAATTGTGTAATCTCATGTCGTTTCTCTTAGGCTCAGTGTTATACATTTTTGAGGCAACGGGCTTAAGGTTTTAGCCTTGGTTTTATAAGTGGATAATGGAATACAGCTTTTCACCAGCATCATCTCCACACCACCTTCGTTGATACCAACATAGAGGCTCCGGCCTATGAAATGAGGTCAAGACAGCAGCACTGATGCTTCACAGACTGTTCACAGCTATTTAAAGTCCTCTAGTGTAAGCCCTCATTTTAGTTAGAAACTGATATTTGGTGAAACAGAGGTGATTTTTGTTTAAAGGGTTGCACAGCAAATTGTAAGGCAGGCTCCAATCTAGAAACCTCCTGTCTGCACATGAAAGGCTGTATCCTCTGAACTAACGCATATGTTAAGGACCGACCTTCTAAATACAGGCATAGGTTTCACAGACTCCACAAAGTCCGTTTCTTCATCTATAAAGCTACATATGAAAAAAATAATGAATAAATAAAATTAATTAATTAAAAATAAAAATACTAGCCGGGCGCGGTGACTCACGCCTGTAATCCCAGCACTTTGGGAGGCCGAAGCGTGTGGATCACCTGAGGTCGGGAATTCGAGACCAGCCTGGCCAACAAGTCGAAACCCCGTCTCTACTAAAAATGCAAATATTAGCCAGGTGTGGTGGTGCATGCCTGTGATCCCAGCCACTTGAGAGGCTGAGGCAGGAGAATCTCTTGAACCTGGGAGGCAGAGGTTGCAGTGAGCCGAGATCATACCACTGCACTCCAGCCTGGGTGACAGAGCAAGACCTTGTCTCAAAAAAAATAAAAATAAAAATGATAATAAAAAGTAAAAAATAAAAATATTCATACACTTTCACATGACTGTATGAAAACTCCCCACTTTTATTGAAAATAATGTATACCCACAATCTTTGGTAGCCTCAACTCCATTTTGAAGAACCAATTTCTCATTGAAAGTTATCCAGCCATCGGTGGCAAAGTTAATTAGAATATGGATTCAATACTTAACAGTTCTGGAGCAAGTTCTCATGGATTAAATGAATGACAGTTTCAAGAATTACAAGAACTTGTGTGAGAGAATTCATGAGAGAAGTGAGGGGTGGCATGAGGAGGGCTGATCACCTTCCCATTTGCTATTTTGCAGAATTTCAATCCATGAAAAACAGTTAAAGAATAGAGTGAATACCCATCACTTTCACCTAGATTCATCCTAATACTTTGCCACATTTGCCTTTACTCAGAAAGATGGTTTGAAAAGTAATTTCAGTTAAGGCTATCATGTTTAATTTCCTTTCAAGTTTCCAATTTAAGTTTTATCTCTGGCTCCTCTAATTCTTTGGAGAAGAGCAAGGAATGGGGGGAAGAGGAGGGAGTTGATGGGGTATTGATTGTCTTCTTCCCCACTATCACCAACAAGACTTCAAAATGGAACCTTTTTTTCTTTTATATTCTGGCAAGAAACAATGTAAAACAAACTCCACTGGAAACAGAAATTGTTATTTTAAAACAAAAAAATCTGTGCATGTAGGAAAAATGTACAGGAAGATACTTTTCCTCACAGTTTTTCTTGGAGTGTGTTGGTGAGAAGATGGTTAGGCGGCAGATGAAGGGACACAGGGACATCATCTTGGTGAAACATTTGGTGCTCCAGGTATCAGTGTGCCAGGGCCATGGGGAGGTATTGGAGCAAGGTCAGGTGTCCCTGGGAGTGCTTTCGCCACAGACACGTAGCAATCAAACAGTCAGCAGTTTCTCAGAAACTTGGCTGTAAGAAATTTACTTCATCACTTCTCTGGAGTGATTCCAGGGAATGGCAGTTCCCCAAGGAGGGCAATCATAATTTATTCAACTGCATAGACCACCAAAGCTTCCAATTGACGCGTTAAACATAGCGGGAGCTCAAACAGTTGAAGACGGTGATGGAATAAGAGTGTTATTTGTGCGGAGGCGTTGGGTACTTTGGGGTCTCTGTTTTTCTCCTTAGCCTGAGCTCTAGTGAGTTGCAAACACTTTGGTTGCTTTACTAGCAGGACTTTTTGCTTCTCTGTATTGATCTCTCACTCTATTGAAATATTGGGAAAGAGTTACACACAGAATTGAGAACACAGCTGGCCAGTGCTCAGGCCCACGCTGCGTGACAAGGCAGGTTTACTATTTGCTGAAACAAAGTGGAGGTGGAGAAGGCATCAGCTCTGTGGGCAGCTGAGCAGGTTCCTGACGGGGCTCAGAGACACAGAGAGGTGGGCCCCGTTGGCACAGTCACTAGTCTGGCATGGGGCAAAGACCCAGCGGGGAAGCAGACAGAGTCTTCTTTGACCCTCAATTCAGTCATTAATGTACTGAATCTCCTATTTATTTTCTACTCTTTATTAAGTAAGTTTCAGAAATGTTCAGCCTGTTGAAGGTCTAAGCCTGCTTCTGGTTCCAGTCAGGCCTTTGCTTTGCAACACAATGAAGAAACCCATTCATTGTGCAGTTTTCTGGGGTTGGGGGACGGCTCCATAATGCTGGCCACCTGTTTGATTTCTCCTTTTATTATAATTAGGCCAAGTAGCTTGTCTCATAATAATGAAAGCTTACTTCCAAAGAAATAGTGTCAGGATGTATGACTTCTTTCAATTCAACCATGTTTAAACAGTCCCCAATGTACAAGCAGTATGTTTCAAAGATTCACTCTTGAATAGAATATTTGGGACTCAGAAAACATTTTATTGAAGAAATTATGTTATAGATGGGACTTAGGTTCCCAGAGCAACAAACAAGTTACGAGTCAGTGTAACTCGTAATATCATGAGTCACTCTGTTTTGAA